ATAATATGAATGCTCAATTTTGTGTTGATTAATTAGGGATGAATATAAAATTTTTATTAATTAATTGTTACATTGTTATTTTGAAAAAAAAGGGGCTAACTTAGGTTGGATAGAGGAGTATTTTATTTTAATTTTTAGGTGAACTTATTGTTAAAAGAGAAGATCATTAATGTAATGATCATGAGTTTTATAACATACTAACTATAATTTGATAGATCTATAAAGGTGATATTTTTTTTGTATGTAAGAGGTTTGAATCCTAATCTTGACTCTTAAGTTAAAATTTTAATTCATGTGCATTAACTTAACCAAACAGCTAGCAACATACATAATTAAATATCAATTCTTATAGTTATAACTAAATGGAAAAGAGTATAAGCCTTATTGCAGAATTCTGCTCCTCTAATCCCCATCTTAGGAGAATTACTTCCTGCACCTACCTTCCTATCAGATGGCTTCCTCCAAGGGAGGGGTGGTTTAAACTGAACACTGATGGATCTTCTAACTTCACCCAAACCTGCACTGGTGTTGGTGGAGTAATTAGAAATCATGAGGGTACTTAGGTCATGGGTTTTGCACAGAATCTTGGATATGGAACAAATAATGATGCTGAGCTTTGGGGCATTAAAATCGGCTTGGAATTAGCTGCGAAATTAAAGATTAAACTGCTTGAAGTGGAAACTGATTCTACTTTTGTAGTCAATGCTCTAGCAGATTGCTCTATGAAATGCTTAAATCATAGGACTTTGATTGCATCTTGCAGATTGTTGACCCAACAGTTTGAACAGGTGCTGATCAAGCACACATATCATGAAGCAAATGGTGTGGCTGATACACTTGCCAAGCATGGAGCTCTCATGGAAGCCCTTTTTGTCACTTTTGATTCTATTCCGTGTTTTTGTTCCTCTAGTTACTCTCATGATAGAAATGGTTGTATTGTGTATTGGACCACTTTTTGTAAAACTTAATTTGCTTCAATGAAATTCCCATTTCCACCAAAAAAAAAAAAAACTAAATGGAAAAGAGTGCTATTAACAAAAAGTAAAAAAGTTGTTACTTATTAATATACATATTGTTTGAGAGAAAATAACGTAGGAGAGAAAAATATGAAAAAAAATGATACTTTTTTCTTGATTCATTTGAATATAAAAACACTTATTCATAGGTCTGTATAAGAAAATATTTTGTAATATAAAATCAATTAATATAATCATATCAATCAATTATAACGTGAATATAATTATACTAATGTGAACATAATCAAGTAAGAATATTTTGTAATAGTGTTGTACAATGTGTGATTAGTTGGTTGACTAATCATAATTAGGTGAAAGGCAGTGAGGTACCACACTACTTTGCCCAGTTTTTTGCCTAGTTAGACAATAGTTAGTCAAGACCGATTACATTTTCTTAGGTTGACAATATAATAGTGCAATGAGCAGTGCTAGGGGCACTCGCCTTCCGCACTCTCCGGCCAACACTCCTCCTTTCATTGGGCCACGTTATTTTAGTTCGCCGAGAGGTTACACTCCAGAGCTTAAACAACCTTACGTGGCCCAATGAAAGAGGGAGTGTTGGCCTGAGAGTGCAGGAGGCGAGCGCCCCTAGCACTGCTCTAATGCAATAATATAAGAATAGTGATCGGAAACTTCCTCAAATGATCTCGATGAGCTTATCCACTTGAGTTGTAGTCAGAACGGTAATGGGACCTATTTTCACGCATCACAACTGTAAAGGTGACTCGCCAAGTATAACCAACCCAGTGCCAAGCAGAAAGGCCACATTAGTTAAAATGAAACAATGTGTTTTGACTCCTCTTATCTTGGGAATTCAATCCTCTAAGTTCGGTAGTTCGGTAAAATGTATAGTGAAGTCTTTAAATTTTCAATTTTTTGCATTTTTTTTCTTTTTTTTTCTTTTTGAAATTGTTGACAATTTTGAAATAAAAAATTTCAAAAATTCAAAACACGCAATCTCGATTCGTGGCGACTGGGAGTTGATGAACGTTGGGTGGTGGGATTGCCCAGACTTTTACAACTTTGCACACAGAAGGATGTTTTATAAGTTTTTATTTTGTAGTATGGTCGTAACGCATTGCAAAATCTAAATTATTAAGTTTAGAAAGTTTCATTCCTTCAAGTAGTTATTGTAGAGTTCTTACTATATAAAACTTTATGTAAGCTCCTTATATCACTTATCATATATACAAAATTTTCTTATTAATCCTTATAATTTTTTATTTATTAGGAATTAATTAGTCAATATTATAACCAACCGGGCCTGTGGCCCAATTGGTTGGTCCCAAGTTTTAGGGTTTGGGTGAGGCGGAGGTCAGAGTTTCGAACTCTGCCACTGCCGTGAACTCCACCAACTTGCGATCTAATGGTCGCGCGCCTCAAGTAAAGGGTGGAACGTTCACTTTCCTGAAAAAATTTCAACTGCTAACAAATTAACTCTACTAACTCCCTAACCATCTACCTGGTCAAAAAAAAAAAAATAGTCAATATTATAAGTATTTAAAACTCAATTATTGATTTTCAATTAAAATTTTTAGTGTAATAAATACTGATATCAATAAACTCTTATTAGTTAATAACGCCTACATCATTTTTCTTTTCCTTTTTTTTTTTTGGGTGGCGCGACGAAGAAAAATGTTTTCTTCTCAAATTTTTGCTTAAAAACAAGAGCAAACAATCTTCTTCTCAAGCTAATGGTTTTATCCACTCCATTCATTCATTCATTCAAGGCGAGCGTCTGACAGGGTCAACGCCCCCCATTGGTCGATCTAACATGATGCGTTCTTAATAAACCATTGGCCCGTTGTACGATTAAGTTGACATGTAATACGATTTTTTCCTTATTTACCCCCTTTTTTGGCCTTTACTGTCTATTTTCTTTACTCATTACTTCTGGCACCTTCTTTTCCTTTTCTCAATATGAGCAATGCTACCGACACTCGCTTTTCGCACTCTCCGGTCAACACTTTCTCTTTTATTGGGCCACGTTATTTTGGTTCCCGAGAAGTGGCGCTGAAAGCTTTAAAGAAGCTTACGTGGCCCAATGAAAGGGGAAGTGTTGACCGGAGAGTGCGAAAAGCGAGTGCCCCTAGTATTGCTCTTCTCAATATTTACCAAAACAAGTTAACAGTGTGAATTAAAAAGCTTTTAATTAGGTAAGGATATTTTTTTATTTTTTGTTTTTTTGTGGTTTGAATACAACGAAAGGGCTATATCAAATCAACGCATCCTTTGCGTTTCTGCTCTGTGAATCTTTCTAGGATTTCTGAACTTCTCTCTTCTTTGATTCATCCCTTTGTTCCCAAGAATTTTGTAGTGTGGTTGCTGTTTGGTTTCCTAGAAAATTTTGGCCTTTTCCAGTGATTTTCTTTTTGGGTTTTCCTCCTTCCTTTGCCCCTTGAAAGATGAAACTTTTCCATGGGACTGTGGACTGCTATTGTTGATCCCCTCAAAATTTGTTTTCTTTGCACAGAGGCAGAAACTTGTTTGCTTTCCTAGAAAATTAGCCTTTTTTTTTTTTTTTTTTTTTTTTTTTTTCTGGGTTTTCCTTGTCTTTCTCTTTCCTTTAAGCTTTTAAACCCTTCCTCTGGGTTGCCATTATAATCTCTTAAAAATTTTGTATATTTTTCTTTGCAAAGGTCGAAACATATCTGAGGACTTTGCTCGATTTTGGTGAGTTTTTGTCTCATTTTTTCTAAAAAAAAACAAAATCTGATTCTCCTGTAAGGTTACTGATTACCGTGGCTCTGATGATGAAGTAGAAGATGAGGAGGGGAAAAACTGTGATGAAAAGGATCGAGAATGCAGCAAGCAGACTAGTGTCCTTCTCGAAGCGTCGAAACGGCCTGCTTAAGAAGGCTTTTGAGCTATCTGTTCTCTGTGATGTCGAAGTTGCAGTTATCATCTTCTCACAAAAAGGAAGACTTTATGAGTTCTCGAACTCCGAGTATGTTCTTTTTAATTATACTAACAAAGTTCTTCAATTGATTATTTCCTTTTACTATATATGTTAATCATTTAACAGATTTTGCAAGTTACAGAATATGCGCATTATGTGGATCTGTACTTCCTCAGTTCCATTAGGGAATCTTGCCATTTGCATTGATTTTCTCTTTTACCTATTTGTCTTTGATTTCGTTTCTTTTGATAAAATGTCAAGAACGGCTCTCGTGATATGCTTTGCTGCTGGTACAAATCCATTTGGGTGCACTTTGCCTTTCTCAAACATGTCTGTTAGGGTTTGCAAAAACCTTGCTGCTAGGAACTAGAAACTGTAATTCTAGTTTTTAGCCTTCCACCATTTCAATTTACATATTAATTAGGAGAAATTAAATGTCACGCTAGTTTTGTCCTGTTCTTTTAATATATATAGTATGTATAGTGTATGATATCACACGTACTTTAAGAATTATGTTAAACCCTCCAATCTTCACAATAAAAGTTTGAGACAGTCTAAAGTAGTTATGAAATCATTAATTTCTTGTAGTTTATGTCCTATAGAAGTAAGTATGTGAAATTCATTGGTGCATGGCTAATTAAAATGAATGTTCCCTGTGTGTGTTAGAAGGAATCTGTTAATGTATATATGCCTTTTTGAGGCATATAAATCTATCTTGTTTTTTAGTTGCATGACATTAGGCTTATTAGATATTCATTCTTTATAATCATCGCCAAGCATTTGTTTTTCAAGTGTTTGGTAAATATATATGTTTTTCTCTTTTTTGTTATATAATTTTAGAGTATGGATCCACTTACACATAAATCTTATACACCACGCTTACATAAAATATTGGTTATTCATCTTTTCTTTCAAATGGTTGAAATTTATAATGACTTTTTAGATAAAAAATAATTATTTTTAATGAAGATAATAAAAAATGAATAAATCTCAACCATTGAAAGTGGAGAGATAAATGGTTAAAATTTTGTATAAATGTGATGTGTTAGACATGTGTATAAGTAAATCCCTACTCATATGTGTATAATCTTTATTTTGAGTGTTTAATTCATATATGTGAACAAATTTTGTGTTCAACCCAGTAGTGAGAGGCATAGGAATGATATAATCACTCAATAATAGTATAATTAACTTAGAAAAAGCACCCATTGGAAAAAAAAAAAAACCCTTAAAAAAGGCAAAAATCTAGGCATTAGACATGTTGACTCTATGTGAAGCATGTCGTTATGTTAGGTGAATCTGTTAATTGAATGGTATATTAAAGAATAATATTATTCATATGTGTTTAAAATTAGTTAAAAGGAATCATTGGATACATTTGTGGGGGAGAAAAATTAATCTTCCAATACAGTCCATATATAGAAACTCTTTAGTATGATTGGAGACTTGACAAAGTCCCTTACATAAATATTTTGCCTCTGATAATTACATGTTTACCATCCAAGTTGCAAGCATTTTATGTAGAAGAAAATTCATAAAATTTTTTACTTGCTAAAAAATAAAGCTAAGCGATACACTTCTGCTTTTCATGATTGGTGCCATAACCCATGAGATTGAGCTAGAGCAGTGAATGAATACGGGGAAGCTGTGAAGAAGGCAAGACAAGTACAGGATCAAGTAACATGATTTAAATTTGGATTTAAGTGTTTTGCATGTTAGGAGAATTCTAATGTGTGTTCATGATGGTTGGAGTACTTTAATATAAATTTCATTTTGTTAGCTGATTTAGAAAAAAAAAAAAAATTGCCCTTAGATGATGTCTTGGACAAGCTAGTTTAATAGTTGTCCTTGAAAACTAGTGAATCTAATCATTATTTTTTCTCCTTTTGAGTGCATATTTGGTAATTAACTTTCTAATGCAGTCCTCTTTTTTCTTTTCTTTTCTTTTATTTTTTTTTAATTTCTTTGTATCTAAGCTTTTTTCCTTTTATATATTGAGATGGGTGTGTACATGATATGAGACATATAGTCTCCCCCGTCTATCTCAAGATTTAATTTTATGCTTTCAACTTAAAATTTCAAGTTATTAATTAACTAATGGTACTTCTTGTAGGGATGTATTTAAGGTTCGCTAAGGTTATATAGTATAGAATATTCTTGTTAAATTTTGACAACCAACTTGTAGTTGCAATCTGTGCATTGACTTCTTTTTTATTTAGACCCATTTTTGGCCTAAACTAAATTTCATATAGTAAAATTACACCATCTGTCCTATATTGATTCCTGACCAAATCCTTTGTCACTCTTTATGACCAATTGATTTACTATCGGTAGTAACAGAACCAATTGATTTACTATCGGTAGTAACAGAAAAATCTTTTTTTAAAGGACTATCTTTGGTTTCACTATTTTCAATCTCCTCATATTTAGAAATACCATGTTAATTTTCATATTTTTGATAAATCTTTTCCTTGTGCTATTTACATAATACTCTATTTTGACTTATCTTCTTATGAATGGACTACTTTTTATTTCTTATGGCAATTAATTAGCTCCTAAAAGCCAGAAATCTGATAAAGTTATAGATATTTTGTAGTTTGATTAGTTAGCAATAAAAAACAACTATTAAAGTGAGATTTGAATTCAAATATATATCTTAGGTTGCAGTTTGGGAATTTAAATCAAATTTTCATGTCTTGAAAATACAAGCATTTAGAAATATATTTTTTAGTTGAAATGTAAACCACTTTGAAATCCATGTATTTATTTCATATAAGTTGGGAATCCATGTATACATTATTAAGAATTCAAGTTTTATGATCTGAGATTTATGAGATCAATTTGTCTTTTTTCTCAATTCTACTCTTTTTTATTACAAAGGAAATTAATGTACTCAAAATTGAAGATTTAAATTCAAATGCCCACTCAAAATTGTCATTTACAAACCGATTATCATTAATTTAATCGGATGCTAGATGATGTTGGAGCTGCATGTCAAATTTTTCAATGGCAGTGCAATGCCCTACAAATATATATATGTCAATGCCTCCTATGTAAAACAACTTAAAAGAAAAAAAAAAAAAAACCTAATTTTCCTTTTCTACATTCAAATTAAATCCTAGTAATTTGTTTTTCTTGTGTTTTAGGTATGTAGTCTAAGTTATAACTTGATTGAGGTGACCATTCTGTGAACTTGGATGCATCTTCCTTCTTGGCTCTCATCTTTTAGGCTTAGATGGTGGATCGAGGCTTGTAGGTGATAGAATTTATCATGGATTAATGACACTTTTTTTTTCTTTTTCTGAAATGCTTCAGCATGCAGAAGACCATTGAACGATACCATAAGCATACAAAAGAAACTCTGTCTCACAAGCCTGAAATGGAACAACGCATGCAGGTTAGACCTCCATCTTTCATTGTACGGATTAATTTTCCATGAATTTTTTCCGAGGAAAGGGCAGTCTTTTTCATAGAAAACAGAAACAATTATAGTTACGAAAGCAAATTGTAAGGTTTGGTGCTTGAGTGGGGTATCCTTACACAATCTGAGTTATATATGAAATGGAGCAACTTGAATATGTATATGTAAACGTATATGATATTATATACAATGTAATTCTATTTGGAAAGGAAAGATACATAATAAGGTTTCAATTGTGCGGAAACTATTAAATCTGTTAAAGTAGTTATTAATACTGTTAACTCTAATTAACTATATATCCAAAATGGTCCCTAATTTTTCTGTCTTATCTTGCAAAATAACACCAAAATTTTCAATAGCCTCAAAATTCTCTTCAAACTTATTTTTTTGTTGAAGTGATAATTATTTGGGACCCACATGGCAACAACTAAAAATTAATTTTAATTATATTAAATATTTACTAATTAACTATTAAATGATTGCATTAAACATTAATTAACCATTAATCATCAAGTAAAAATTTAATTCTTAGTTTCTTGATTAAATAACTTAAATCTTTTATATTTATTTATGTAAAAATGATGATGAATTTGTGAAATCCCAATAATAGCCCTATTTGTTTTCTCCATCCTCCCTTTTTCTTTCCTTTGTTCTTTTTTTAATTGGAAAATGACTAGTATACGCTCGGTTCAGTATATTTTTTGACACCCAATTCAACCATTAAAAATATAATGTAAGTACATCCGATTCGGTTCTTGCATCTTGTGTGCATGGTTGGATCTAAAAGTTTGTTTGTCTTTAATTTTAGATAAAAAATAATAATAATTTTTTAATGATTGTGTTATATAGTGTGTTAAATTAGAGTGTGTATCAATCCGTGTCTCTTTTATTTAACTAATTGATATGTTTTGTTTGTCATATATAGTTTCAAAAATAACAATGTAAATTTTTTAAATAGGGTACATAAAATTAAAGTTAAAAATTAATTTTTTTTTAAACTTTTAGTGCCTTAAAAAATTAATTTTTAATTGTGGGTCCCATAAATTGGCACAACTATGAAACAATTAAGCTTAAGGAGTATTTTTGGATTACTGAAAGTTTTAAGGTCATTAAAAGATAAAATATAAAAGCTAGGACCATTTTGGTTACCTAACTAATTAGAGTTAATGGTGTTAATGACTAGTTTAACTGACTTAATGGTTTCGTTCAATTGCAATCCTATTTGAGAATTTGAATGACTTTTAGACCTTATTTGAGTGCAATAAAACTTTAGGACTCAATTGCAAATTTGGTGAAAGTTCATGACCTTATTCAATACTTAAGCCTTTGTTTTAACTGGGTTTTGTGGCTTGATTCTTTGATTCATATGATCGAATTTCTTTATACATATTCTACATTGCATCTTCATTGCTCTCATCAAACAGCTCGCTTTGTGGGTTATCATAGATTACTAGCTTACAGCTGCTAACAATACCTACGGTTTCCACAAAAAATTTTCAAAGTGCAGCACTTGAGGATTGAAACAGCAGATATATTTAAGAAGATTGAGTTCCTGGAAGTTTCTAAAAGGTTCATTACTGATTTAATGCTTATGTCATGTTACATCACCTCATTCAGGTGAAGGGATTTCTAAAATATGAAATTTTGATGTTATACAGGAAGCTGTTGGGTCAAGGATTGGGGTCATGTTCTATTGAGGAACTTCAAGAGATTGATAGCCAGCTAGAACAGAGCTTGAAAAACATCAGGGCAAGAAAGGTTTGCAACCTTTAAATTGGCATTTAGGCTAAAAGTAATTCCATTAATGAGTCAAAGCATGATTACAAGACTTCTTATTTTGAACGAAAATCAGCTCGAGTTACTATCAAATGAGTTTTTTGACATATTTATAGAGTATTTGCACTGTCATTGGACCCTTTATAGACATACGACCACATTTCCTCAGACTGCCTCCTCCTTAGGTTATGTATACTCATAGATAGAGCTGCAACCCACATCCCTTAAACCATTTAAGTGGTGTAAGATCTCCTCCATGATGTGGGATTGGAGTCTCTAATGTACCCTTTAATTAATAGATCCTTCATTGAGCCATCTACCTACAAGGGACTTTGGCTTCACGTTCCTTGAATCATTGATTCAAATTTCTCTAGTGTACTAGATTTTCATTGTGCCATGCATCTAGCTACATACAATTCTTAGACAATTCTTGAAAATTGTGTTTACTTGCATAAAAGTACATAGACTAAACATGTTATGTCCTATATTATAGGCCCAGTTATTCAAGGAGCAGATGCAACAACTAAAAGCAAAGGTAAGAATAACCATCTCCATTGAATTAAACATATATTACTTCCTCAATCTTCTAGCTCTGATCATCTCAACAATGTCACTAGTTTTTGTTTCAATAATATATTTTGTTTCAATAATATATTTTGTTTTAATTCAGGAAAGAATGTTGTTAGAAGAAAATGTGAAGTTATTTGAAAAGGTGAGCCTTCCATATCCAAATCTTGGAGTTTTTTTTTTACTTTAAAAATGAAAGTGCTCATAGTTTTACCGTACAAATTGACACTAGATTGCAAAAATTGGGTCATTTGATGATGGGAGCTGCCCTACAACCAAGATCCCTTTCATCTAATCACCTATATTTTGCAATTTCGTGTAATTTAGATTGCAAAACACTATTTTGAATGAAAAATCTAACCCTTTTGACATGGATATTAGTGTGGTCATTGGAAGTCATGGCAGCAACCAATAACCCAACAAAGGAAAGCAATAAGCAATTGCATCCAAAATAACAAGTGCTTGGAGGTTGTGACGGAATTGTCCATTGGACTACCACAAAACAATTAATATCAACCATCTGAATTACTTTATGACTGAAATTATTTCGCTGCCCCAAATAATGTTGTAAATAACGTGGTATGTTCAGTGTATGTGATAGGTTAGTCCATTATTTTTCTCTTTAATATTTCCTTCTTTAATTGTATAAGAGTTAAATGTACCATTAATATATGATCTAAGAATACCATAAAAAATATAATGTAAGATGTTGGGGGTCATTACATTATGCACTAGGGGAAATGATTAAAATAATCTTGTTCATGTTATAAAAGTTAGTTGTTTTAGTTTTTTTTATTAAAAATTTATTGAAACAATATGGTTTAAAATGTGTATTTTGTCAAAATTTTTTACAAATTTGAATGATAAATGTTTTTTTAATTCTTCTCATTTACATTTAAAGACGTCAATTTTCATTCTTTCTTATTAATTGCATTATTAGAAATTTAGAATTGAAAGAATTAATACATCGAGTAAAAGTAAAGAACGACGCAAGGAGTTCCTAGGCCAAAATGAAACTGGGGGTCGATTGTAGCTAAATCATTATTCAACAAGTGGCCCCACTAGCTTCCAAATCGGGAGCCCAAAATTCCAACTGCATGATTAGAGAAAAAATGCCTAAGAGCAATCCAACTATAAATAGCAAAACTCAGCCCCAACCGTCCACTCTCAATAAAATCAAAACTTTATACACATCATTTGTGTAAATAAAATAATTGATTTATATTCAATTTAATACATTTTTTGGCATTTATCTGCTCTAATAAATTATAGTTTTTTGCCATTCAAAAAATAAAAACTTTCTAACACTTGTTTTGGTTTAATTATTAAAAT